CGGGCCCACACACCCTAGAGCAAAAAAAAAAAAAAAAGTGAGAATATGCATTAACAATGGTTAAATTTATGTATATCTATTTATGCTACTAATCAAAAAATGATAAAATGTAGTTGTATTTAAAACTTAAAATTACTGGGACCAGCAGATGGCATAACGGTTACATCGCTGGACTCCCACATGGTCGACCTTGGTTGAGTCCCAGACCCAGTGGGACTTGAATTCATGCCAGGTAGGTGTATGTGCATGCCCAAAATCCCAGGAGGAGAATGGAGGAGAAGGGACTGAGATGTGGTCATCTCCCCCAGGGGGTGATTTATTGCTTTCCTCTCTTTCTCTCTGGCAAGTACACACACTCTAGAGCAAAAAAATCTCTCTTAAAAAAAAGGTAAAAATAAACCTTGAAATTAAATTGCATAATTAATTTATGCAATTATTTTTAATTGCCAGAGGGCACATGTACTGGCAGAATGAGAGGGAGGGAGGGAACCGCACCATTTTTCCATCCTATCAGGATTTGGGGTAGACACATACAGCACAAACACCTGGCAAACTTTTAAAGCCACTGAGATTAAGACTCAAACCACAGTTAGCAATCTGATTCCCTTAACCACCAGGTAATAAGGCCAGCCAAGAATTAATGTCATTAGCTAAACTAGTAAAAACCAGAAAACAAAACAAACAAATAAAAAAAACCTACCTCTTTTCCACCTAACTCAGTTCACTTCTGCCTAAGCCCATTCAAATCAGAATTCGTACCAACTCTCACCAAAAATCCTCTCATCCTCAACATCTAAATCAAACCATTTTACATATTATTGTTGAGGTAAATATATCCATACCCAGACCTAACTGACCATTTTACATGACCAAATCTCTAATTTAGGCCTCTCCAGAGCTATAGATTCCCAGATCCAAGTGCCTGCTGAAATATTACACTTCAATGGTTCCTAGGCACCCTCTTAATTATGAAGTGCAAAGTATTTTCTTCAATCACCTTCCTTACCAATCCTGTCCTTTATCCTGTATTTCATCTCTCAGTTAAAGATACCATCACATAATCCTGGGCTGAAAACCCAAGAGTCTCTAGTTATGCCAGTCATTAATGTTGTTCACCTAATTATTTCCAAAGCTGAGAAGGAGGGAAAGTGAGTCACTCCCCCAGGGGGATGACCATGCCACAATCCCTTCTCCTCCAGTCTCCTCTCGGGCTTTTGGGCACACATGCAGATTCACTCAGGGTGATTTTTTATCTTTTTTTGGAGAGGTTTTTTTTTTTTTTTGCTATAGGGCACGTGTGCTCACCAGAAAGGCAGAGAAAGAGAGACAGAAAGTGAGAAATCACCCCCCAGGGGGGCTGGCCACGCACCAATCCCTTCTCCTCCATTCTCCTCTCGGGATCTTGGGCACGCATGCACACGTGCCCGGCGTGAGTTTAAGCTGCCGGGTCTGGGACTCGAACCGCGGTCGACTACGTGGGAGTCCTGCGACATAGCCATTACGATAACTGCTGGTCCCGAAATCCACTTCATTTTTAACTTGCAACATTCAAAGGAATAGGAAATCTGAGCCTGGTTTATAAAGCAACTACATGTGCAGGGCCAGGAGGTGGTGTGGTGGTGAGGGCCC